ATCCTGGTCCCCACCTCACTAACACTAGGACAGAGGGTTGGGCATATCTGCTCCCCATCCCAGAATTATCCCTAACACACACACAGACCCCTCATGGCAGGATCCAGGTAGGGTGGTATCATTATAATTCGGAATTTCTTTCTGGGTAGGAATTCCAGAGTTTAAAACAACTTCCTCAAAGTCTTAGCAGTGTTAATAATTTTGGGAGATGCCAAAGCAGCTGGAAGGCAGAAAAGCATCTCGCAAAGTAATTTCGAGCGGATCCCAGGCAGGATCAGACCTACAGGTGCAAAGTCCTTTTGAGACTGCAGCTGAAGAGAAAACTCCCCAGAAATAAATAAATAAATAAATAAATAAATCCCTTGTGCTTGCGCCTTCCCATGAACTCAATCAATAATTCTCCATTCTGTTTCACAACCAGGTAGATCTGGTGGGTGTGCAACAGCTCCACAGCTACCTGGGGTTTGCTGCCTTCTTTGCTGGGATAGCAGCCATCGGCGGACCTCCTCTAGCAGGTAATTCTCATGTCGCGTATAATATATCCCCACCGCAGACATCCCACGGTAAAACAGGCTCCTGGTTCACTCTCCTACCTGTGTGCATCCAAGGATGGGTTTTCTCTCCATGTGGCAGGGGGGGGGAACCAAAACAAACCATATTTCAGAAATTTCTCTTTATACGCAGGCAATATTTTGCTCAGAATTTTGCAAACCCCAACTACTAGTTAGGAAAAAAGCTGCATGGGAAAAAGGAGGCTAAGCCCCACGCGTGTGTTTTAACCCTGACCGCAGCAGAAGAGCAATGACCACGCTAGCACGGATTTGGATTTCACCCCCACCAGGGCTTTGTAACGCTGAACCTGGGACAGAGGGACTGAGGGGGGACAAGGAGAGGAAGGCAAAGGACAGACGGGCTCAGCAGCGGTCCCACCAAGCAGAGGCACTGAACCGTAAGGAGAAGTCTCAGTAATCTCTTGTTTTGAAGAAGATTATGCAGGTCAGCCACAAGAGCTCCTGGGCCCAAAGATAAGGAGGATGAAACGCCTTTCCTCTTCGCCCTCCGCCAGAAAACCAAGGTGGTTTTGAGTATCTGGCAGATTTCAAGCGCTCCGAAGGGCGTCTCCAGCCTCTGCTTACGAGCGCGGGACTTGTTCTCCTCCAAACATCTTGGCCAGGACAAAGCTTTTCCTTCCCCTTTTCCTTCCCCTGATGACCCTTTAGCCATATCTCACAGCTGGCAACAGGACCTGAGCTCTTCCTAAGTCCCCGTGATGCAAACAAACTCGAAAAAGCCACAAGGTCAAATATCAGCGCGAACCATGTCCCGTCACTCACCCAGCATACGTATCCCGAAGCAAACCTGGCACCTCGTTCTTCATTTATTGCTTCCTGCCCTCCACCATCAGCTGCCTCGTGCCCGCAGAGGCGCTTTGCTCGAAGCTGCCGAGGATCCGGTAAATACCAGCTCCGGGCAAGGTTTTAGCAACGCTGCTGTACCGCGAGCATGTGAAAAGAAATTGATTTCCCTAATGGATATTTCTAGGTTGGCAAAACTCCGTACACAGATGCAATTTTGAGCGACTAAAGCTTTTCATTGACAGCGTGCTTTGCACTGTCACGGTGATACATAGCCTGTACCGGGCAAGATCTCTTCTGCGATACAAGATATACGACCACCAGAAAGCAATCCCTGTACAACCATCACAGTAAATTCCCTGGCACAGTAACATACAGTAGGAAAAAAAGCTAAATAACTTGGCTAGCTCTTATCCATGCATCATAGGTGCTAGGATAGCGGTTACACTTTCATCTGCTTCCAATATATTTTCACTAATGGGAAGCCTTTTGCTTTCTGAAAGTGCTCACCACTCACCATGCGAATGCTGCTGGATTTTGTAAAGCAAGTGAGTTTCCTGCAAGAAGCCTTCCACAGAAATCAGTCTTCTTAATAGTGGTGGGATAAATAAAAGCCAAATAAAGCCAAGAAGCAAAACTCTGGCTGATCCGTCTTGGCTAGGCAGAGCAAGGGGGAAAACAATTCAGAGCTCGGGATGGAGGTTTGGGATCCAAGATGAATTCTGCAATTTTCTCTTCCCATACAGCTGTATTAAGCGTGAAAGCTGAATATGACCAGAAGCTACTGATTAAGTGTCCAAAAGCATCTGCTCCTTACAGAATAAGATGTAAATGCTATGCGAGACCCCGGAGTTTAGTGCTGCTGACCTCCCTAAGCCTTGACTTTAGAATTACGGTTTTATAAAAACCTCAAGTGTTTTTAATGCGGTGAAACCCAAGGCACAACGAGAACCGCAAAGGTCGGAAACGCTTATTCGGTGTGCTAGGACAAAGCCTAATCGCAATGCAACGAAAAGGTGACTTACCTGCAAATCTGTTTAACTAAAAGCCCTTAAATCCGGAGGCAGCCGACCTGACCAAAAGCCCAGGGTGAAAAGTTTGAAGGCTCCTTATAGCTCCTCATCTGCCAGCACTGCTGGATGCTTGTGCCATGCTGAAAGAAAAAAAACCCCAAAACCAAAAGAGAACAAGACAGAACAAACGTTATTTTGGCAAGCCACAAGGGAGCTAAGGAGAGAAGAGCACGTTTTTATTTCCATAAGTGGTACCAATCAGTAACTCAAACTTCAAAAGGAATAAAACAAACCAAGCAATCCAAGATGACAAAACAGATTCCAGCAGCCAGCACATGAACGCCAGCCCCAGCAAATTTGGGTGGTGAAAGGGGAGAGGATGGAGTCACGCGAAGGCTGTGCTAGCACGGGCATTTAGATGTTCGCATCTGAATTTTACCTGCGCTTCCCACTCGGTATTGCTACTTAGGGCATCAGGAATAATAAAAAAAAAAATTCTGATTACAAATGAGCAGCACAATTTAAACAGCCCGGCCACAGCCCATGGCAGGAGTCTGGGCTGTGGATGTTTAGTTTGGACCACGTAGGTGCCAGGGATTTACTGGCATTGCTTACCAAACTGGTGTTTTTCTGAAGCTGACACACACTGTAGGTGCTTTAAAAGGCTGGGGTGTCATGCGGTGGAAGGTGATTGCTGGGCTGCCAGCGAGGAGGCAACGCTGGTCTTCCAGCACCAAGTAAAGCTTATAGAAAAAACAAACAAACAAAAAATAAAAATACCCTGAAGGATATTTAAAAAATAATTTAAATAAACCAGAGCTCCACAACTGGAGCACTCCATCCTCTACGTCTTACAAACGACGATGTTAGCATCCCTTCTCCTCTCCAAGTCCCACAGACAGCAAAAGCAGATCCCACCTTCGAGAATACACCACTCCGCAAAAGCATCAGGGTCACGGGAGAGCCGCCCACGTCACCCAGTCCAGCGCCACGGGATCCTCCGCTCCGTCAGCCAGCTCCATCCTCGCCCGCGCCGTGGCTCACACGATATCCCTGAGAAAAAACCAGAGCTGAACCCCCTCCGAGAAAGGCGCGAGCCAACGGAAACTGAAACCGGGGTAGAGCAGAGCAGCCCGCAGCTTTTCCTCTCTTTTATAAAACCATCCTGCGGCTGTGTAAATGTATAGCACGGAAAATGTTAGTGCCTCTGGTTTGTCATTGATCCCCAAATTTTACCGGCACGGTTCCCTTCCCTACTCAGAGCCGTGGCACTCACAGATGACAGCAGCAGCAATGCTCCTACGCGGCTGAGGTTGGCGTCTCCAGGGACTCTATTATTGCCCTTCCTAGCCAGAGCTGGTTTTAAGAATCCCAAATTTGGGCCAGATCTGCTGCTTGTGTAAATCCCGCAAGTCCACAGATGGCACCGGAGGAATTCCGCTTTACCCCAGCAGTAGATCTGGCTCAGCTGCTAACCCCACCTCAGACACCCAACCACCCCACGCCAGATTTAGGAGTGTATTAAGGTTTTTATTACATGCAGCAGCAACTCCCATCACGTTGTATATTTTAGATTCCAATGGCAGAATTAGCCACCTTTAAAATGATTGCCTAGACGCGAGATGATATGCTGCAACTAAACAAAACACTTTGAGGTCATTTTAAAAGGCGACCTGGCCCCTCGCAGATTCCTGAGTCTTTGTGGAATTTAGGTTTTCCTTTTAAGTGCTTACAAAGCCACTTTTAAGCAAGTTCACTTCAAGTTCCTGGCCTGGGATCTCTCATATTAGACAGGTTGCATTAAATTGGGTCTGCTCACAAGAAGGCAAGGCTGGAGAATCTGGAGTTTGCAGCCCAGATGTTGCAAATGCCAACACATGCAAGTCATCTCCTGAAGTCCAATGGGATCTTCCATCTGCTGCAGCAGCTACTTTTGGCCCGTTTATTTAAACAGGAAAAAACATCAGGGATTAAATTCAATCAGATTAAAATCTACATCCAGTACAAGGATCAGGAGAAGTTAACTCTGGGATGAATGACCTGCAAGTTTGCCTGGTAGCCCAACGGCAACCGTCCTGACTGTCCATGTGCAGGCTGCACGGCAGCAGGCACACAAAGAGTTAAGATAACATAAAGAAAATATCTGAGGAATTCCTAAATGAGAGCACACATCCTTTGCTCGCCGCCCACCTCTCAAAATGATTTTTTTTTAGTGAGAAAAATTCAACAGCTTTAATAACAATCTTTTCTCCTGCAGGGTGGCTGTATGACTACACTCAGACATACGTCTGCTCCTTCCTCTTCGCTGGAGCCTGCGCTCTCATCTCCCCTATTTCTTTCTGCTTTGAGCCTTCAGCCCAGAAATGGAAGCTAAAAAAAGCCAACCTGACCAACGGCCCCAGGCTTGGCTGAAGCAATTCTGCAGTGGAAATTTGAAAGGATGGGCTTTGATTGCATCCATGATGGGAAAGCCATCACCGGCACAGACCTGCTGTACCGGGAAATATCAACAGCAGCAAAAATGAAAATAGGAATTTTTAGGGGACAGATTCACAGTTTGTATATCTTGATATTTCTCCTGCACATGTGATTAAAGCCATCTCAGAAATACGTAATGTGTTATTTGATGGGGAAAAATAGGGTCCATGGCCCAGATGGACATTGGCTTCACTTTGACTTTGCTCCCGAGCCATGCCTTTCTGTATCTCCAATCGACCCCCTCCGTGGTCAGTCTGACAGCTCAGTATGGGAGCCCCAGAGCCCCCCCAGCTCTCCCAGCCACCGCGAGAGCACCAAGCTGACTCACCTCTTGGGACGAGGACCCCAAAAGTGCCAAAGCACAGCAGATTTTAGCTTATTCTATTCAGATATGAATAATTTAGCCCCGGGGAGGGATGCAAGGACAGAGATGGTACAGAGAGATATGGATTGAACTTCCATGAGGATACGGAGAAGAGCTGTTCCACAAAAACCCCTCTTTCGTTGAGGAGGTTGCTGCACCGTGGCGGCGCTCCATCTCCCAGGCACGGTGTTAATTTACCACAGCACGGAGGACCTGGAAACAAACCCAATTCCAATTAAAGCCGGCACCACCAGACAGCTAACAAAGATCATACCCACCTCCCAGGCTCCTCTCCCCTTCTTCCCCACCCTCCCAATCAACCAGCGGCTCTCTGGGATGCAAGGAACAGGCGAAAGCGGCTTCCAGAGCCAGGCAGCAATGCTGAGCCTATATTCAAGCAGCATCCTAGAGATTTAATTCGGATGGGCAAGATGTAGCAGCTGCTTTGACTTTCTTTCTAGTAGTGAGGTAGCAATTTTTTTGCATTATCACCAGATATTTGAAATTATTACATGGATCTGGGATATTGTAAAGGGTTTAACAAGAACGTTGTTTCCCCTATAGAAACCCTCTTTCCAGCTGTCAAACGGGTTATTTCAAGCACAAAATTAAGCGGTTTCTATTTAATAAACACTACAGGACATTAGAGTGGCGTTAAGGAGCTAAAACATCGCCGTAGGCAAGAAAGTTCCCTCGCAGGTAATGGGCCAAATTCAGCAGTTCCACAACTACACAACGCCCAAGAAACACAGCGTGCTTAAACGAGGGAATAATTTAGCCTTGTTGGAGAATCTCAGTCCTACAACATGGTTAATTTTTCATATTCGCATTTTCACATTCACAGCTCCTCCCAACTCCTGCAGGATTCCGCAGGCAGCAAGCGCTTCCGAAATTCTCCTCTTAGACCGTAAGCACCGCATCAAACGCCGTACGTGATGCAGTGGTACCGGTTAACATCTGTATCCACGATGAGATCTCTAGTGGGTTGTTTTCCGAGCAACCGGGGTTTAAGGATAAGACGAGTCTTTATGAAGCGCTTAAGGCACTGGCAGTTCAAGAGGGGCGAGCGGGTACCCGCGCAATTTGGCTCAAGCCAGTCCTGCGCTAAGCCTTCGGCTGAGACCTTCTGCCACAGGGATGAGGCTTTCATTTGCAAATTTGAGTTTGCCCCTCTTGCAACGTTATGGTTCATCACCCTCCCACTGAACAAACCAAAGCCCAGGTTTGCTGCTGTAACAGGAACTATTAGGAACACTTGGCTTCAGGTTTTCCCAACCCAAAAAGCTTAAAACCCCACCTCATTCTGCATCTCTCTAACACGTCTTTGAGCTCAGTAGTGCTTTTGGCTATTAACAGCGTGAGACTCAGCGACCAAAGCCATGTGGGGACGAAGAAGAGCCAACACGCCACATCCTCACCACGCTGCCCTGACTCTACACAATTTATAGCACCTATCCCCATCCCCTCCCCGTAAATAAAGCCACACTGCTCCACACCCTTCTCCTTTCAGCACAAGCCCTGCTGGATTTTCATCTCTTTTGCCACCAAGAGAAGACTTGCAGTAGGATGCGGTGTCCACACCTCCCATCCCATCTGCTCCAACAAACGGGCTCCCTTTAAAAGCTCTGGGTTTTTAAGGAGGAGAGACCTCCCCTGTCCTCTCCAGAGTAACACATGCCGCCAATTCCTTATTCTTATTTAGAAAAATGGGTCTCCCAAGTGCTCGTACCCTCCATTTCCTTCTGCAAAGGAGCAAACGGCTCAGGACCTCCCATTTCCCACAGTATCTTACTCCGTAGGTGGGCATCACCAGCCTTTGTTTGCCTCCAGAATAATTCTGCACAGGCCAAGTACCTTTCTCTCGCCCCCATCGCCTCCTGCCTATGAAAAAAGCTCGAGGAAAAGAGTCCCCAAAATAAGAAACTCGTCCCAGTTGCCCTGCACAGTCCTACCATCAGGCTGGGAGGTGGAAGAGTCTTCAAGCCTCTGTGTCTTTGCAAAAGCAGGCTCAGGATAACCTCCAGCGGTCAGAAACGCTTCTCTCCTCTCACACCTTTGGCTGAGAAGGCAAGCACAGAACAAATGGTTTAGTTCTCCTCCAAACTCTGAAAACCAAAGCCATTTATTTACTTGCAAAATACACAACACACATTAAAGAAACAAACAGCCACGACGATGGGAACATCTGCCCGGAGGAAGATTTTTTCCATCCCATTGAAGTCATCTTGCAAATGACTTCACAAAAGCCGGTTTTGCATCGTAAAGGGCATCACGTGCTGTTTGGATAAATGCAAAAGCAGGGTTTGCTGCGACACAAATGACTTTAAAAGCTGTAATCTCATAGGTTGAACAGCAAATCCCCTTCGTGCCTGCTCCCTTACCCAACCGCACAACACAGGGCAGAGCAAACTGAGCAGCAATGGCTTAAAATGCTCTTCTGCACGGAAAATGCTTTGCTTAACCACGGTGCCCTCCCCAGTCCTCCCTCCCTATCCTGGGAAAGCAGCAGCCCAACAGCACGGGGCTGGATTCCCTCCTGCTTTCCAACCCGCCTGCACCTCTCCAGCATCATCTTGGCACTGGCTCTGTATTGGAAAGGAACCGCTAACAACCTCCTAGAGATCTTCCCAAGAAAATAACATAACTTGCAATAAATAATTTAAAAAAAAAAAAATGCTTGTAAAACTAACAAACAACCTCAGCGCTCCGTCTCGAGTCACTCCGTGCAACATTTTCCAGCCCCAAGTTCATCTTTTGCAGGCGCAATGCCTGGGGGAACGCGCTACGGCAGACTGCGCCGCCCGCAGATCTTGCTGAGAAAGCCGATTTGGAAGCATTCTACCAAAGATCCCTCGGTTTGAAAACCTTCCTAAAATTCACACCAGGGAGATGGTGCAGAGAAACCCAACACTAAAGATCTCTCCAAAAGAGACAGTGACGCTGCAGGCTCCCGGAGAAGCATCCGAGTGATGAGAAGCCCAAGGAACCAGCCCCCAATTTTCACCGTATCCCCAAGGAAACCTGGCGTGACACCCCCAAATGCCTCTGAAACAAACTTCTGCTTTCTTTACATAAAGTTTCCCGAGTACAACGGACAGGGGGGCTGTGAGGCTGGTTCCTGCTTCAGTTTAGCACCGCAAGACTAAGAAAGGGAGAAGAAAATACGGACTTGGCTTCTCCAACACGGCATTGCAGCACATGCCGCTGCGGATCCGGATCAGTTACTCCTGGGTTGGTTTTTTTTTCATCCAAACAATTTTTCTGCAAGGCCACCATCCTTCCTGGGAGTTTGGGGAAAAAAAAAGGGGGGGGGAGAAATGTTCTTCTGTCATTATTCAGTGATTTATTCCCAGGTATAATCCTGCGGGACAGCTCCTGGAGCTAGAGCTCCAGCTAAAAAGGGACCGAGCGGTAACACAAGAGCCCTGGGACCTCGCTGCCTTCCCAGCCCTGCCCAGGAGAACCCGGGGGCACCCTCCACCCCCCGTTGGGTCCCACTTCCAGCTCCTGTGCCGGGTATTTCGGCAGGATTGATTTACGGGGTGGGCACCTGCTGGATCTTAATCCCCCCTTCCACTGATTTTACATAAGCCAGGATGAAAAGCTGCAGAAGGCTCAGCTCAGGTCTATCAAAGCTACGGCAGCCAGCGCGATCGGAGATCGCATGGCCAAGCACACCGCATGACCCCTTTAATGCACACTGGAATTATTTTATATTATTATTTTATACAGTCATCGTACACCACCGAGGGCCCCGGCTATCAGCAGCGCATTTCCCCTTCCTTGTGTTTGCGAAAACCTGCTCTGGGTCATTGGAAGTCAGGGTAGGGATTTTCAAACCTGGATTTAGCCATTCCTCAGTACACAAAATAAACCTCCCTCCCTGCCTCTCGATAAAAAAATAATCTGCTAATAACCAAGGCTGAGCTTTCCCCACCGCTCCCCTTGGATGCTGCCAACAGCTGAACCCGGGCGCTAAAGGCAGAGCAAGTTGATCCTGACGTTTATCGCCGAATAAGCGACAATCTTTATCTCACAATAAAATCCCGCCAAAGGCTGGGCTGGAAAAATTTCAGCCGCTCCCCCAGGAATCACACAGGCACTCAGAGGTCTGAGAGCCGGGCAAGGGGGAAGAAGTTTTGGGTTTAACCCACCACGCTGACCCTTTCTTTGACACCTGGGCTGCTTTACACCCAAAACCACCACAAAGACTCTCGTCTGGGGCGATACTGTGAGAACCAGCAGCTTTGCAGGACACTCATTAACCACAGGGGAGGGAAAAAAAAATAAAAATTTACATAATCCAGATTTTAAAGGTGAAGAAGCAGCTTTTTCCCAGCTGGGGCAGGCACGGCTCTGGTTTTCGGGTGGCAAAACTGAGCCGCCCCACCTACCAACGCCCCTGAGGTTTCTGCTTTTACCTTAAGCCGCAGGAAGAAAGCAAAAAGCAATTTTAAAATAGCTGGGTAAGGAGATGAGAACACGGCCTTCCAGCCGCAGGAAACAAGGCTGTTCCCCCTTCGCCCGCTTGTTTGGCAGATAGCGCGTGCGGTTTCGGCTGTTTACTTGCCCTTACACACGCTGATAACAGCAACACTTGGCTGGTTTTGCCTTTTTTTTTGTTTTGTTTTTTGTTTTTTTTTTTTCCCTTCGGTGCTTGTTTTCCTCCCTGCCTGGAACACATCCCGCAGCCGCGTTCGCAATGCGGAGCGTTATTAGGCTGAAATTCAGCAGAGCCTGACTTAAAAAGTTTTCGCTTCCAGCGAGACGAAAGCCTCCGCAGGAGGTGAGGAGTGCTTTTTGGGGTTGGGGTTTTTTTTTTAAATCTTTAAATGTAGCCTAACGATTTTCATTGAAGTCGATGGGAATTTATCAGCAACTCTAACGAAAAACAAATTAAAGCACATGTTTGCAAAAAGAGAAGTTCTAGCTTTAGCCAAGAGGTCCTCCCCGAAGCGCTTTCGTGCCTGCGGTAACCACAGAGGAGGTGGGAGCTCTTGCTCGCGGCCACGGACAATTTCAGAAGTAATTCAGGGGTCAAAGTCTCCGTTTCTGAAGCGATAAAGACTTTGCCTCCTAAGTCACCGCCGAGCTTTGCAAAACTTTCCCCTACAGATATTTCTCATGTGGGCAAGATAGGGCAAGGATTGCACTCTGGCTCGGGTGAGGCAAAGGGTGGCTTTACAACACCCCGGTGACTAATGCCACGCCAATGAAGTGATCTCTGACCCCTCAAGCCTTCGATCAAGCAGGGAAAGGGAGCTACGGCCAAGGCGGCTGAGATAAGGTCGCAGGGATGGGTAACTAGGACTGGGCTCTCCCAGCCTCAGCCTGCTGCTGGGACACAAGTCTACATGCAATGAGAAAGAGTAAAGGCATTTGGTAAAAGGCATCTGACAGCTTGGAAAGGGGTCTGTGCCGATAGGCCATGGGGCAAGAGACGGCTGGCAGATGAGAAACACCAAGTCTTGTATTTATCCACCCAAGCAGAGGAGCACGAGAAACGACGACGGCCCCTTCCCCGCCGTGCCCTCCCTGCAAGTCTCAACGACAGCAGCTCGGGTGGTTCAAGAGTTCATCCTGCACGGAACCTCTGCCCAGGCTGGCAGTGGTGCTGGGTTCAGAGCTGAAGCACCCGAGGCTGGTGGGCCGATGCTGCAGGCAACGACCAAAAGCAAGCCCTCGGCCAAGGGGGCTGCAAACACCACCGTGGTCCACGGGACAACTCCGCTCAGACGGCAACGGGAGCATAACAACAACCCCCGTGGGACCACGTTGGCTTCCCTTAACTCAAAAACCCTCTGCACCCCCCCCATGTCCAGAGGCACACCTAAGCTGCCTAACTGTAGGGGTGGGAAACACAGTGCTTGCGTATGACAGGAGATACAGACGGAAGGATCCGAGCGCTCGCTCGCTACAAATGGCAGAAATTACAGGGAAAACTGCCAACTGGGGGCAGGACGCTGGACTGAGTTGTACGGGTTGCTAAAAGTCAGGCTGACCGATCACCGGATCTGGGGACAGGAAATACTGAGGATAGCTAAAAAATCTACAGACCGATCGTCAGATCCAATTGCAGAACTAGGTATGAAGGTCAAGGCAGGGAGGTAAGCAGATGAAATATCAGTTACCCACAATTAACCTACGGCTCATCCGCTCATCTGTGGAAGCCGACCACATGCACACACAACCCATCCCGATCCCGGGACAACACACGCGGAGCGCAAACCCGAAAGCACGGGCACAGGAGCTGGGCTGGGAGGTGGCAACTCATCAACTCACAGCAACACCATCAAGTTTGACAGCATCCATCCCTCAATTCTTCAACCCCGTTTAATTAAGACATCCCTGGGGCAGGATACAACGGATTCACCATGTAGTAGACCTTTGTGCCATCGCGTACGCATTCTCCGCTCTGGCTAGAAGCACCTCAAACTCTATCAGCACACGAACGAGGAGGATGAACACCAGCAGGGTCTTGTTCATCGGCCCCGAGCAACCCATCGGATGGAGCGCAGCTGAGTCCTCCAGCAGCTTACTCTGCCTTCAGAATTTACTTCACCCGGTTCTCAAGCCAGCTAGAATTAAACTCAGGCACACAGCTACTGGACAATAACCGAAGGAGACATGATAGGAATCACCAAGCCATCAGCCCAAGATACTTCCCACTTCTCCCCCTGGCCTTTCTGCAGACGCCTTGCCCGACCGACTCGCACCAAAACACCAGGACCCACGGTGAGAGCGTATCCTCAAAGAGCATTTGCCATTTCATAGTAAACCAGCAGCACGAGGCAAACATAAGCTCGTTATTAGTGAAGAGCAGAATCTGGGCCATCTGATGTTTTAGACTCACTTATTAATTCAGCTGCGGCTGGTAAAAGCACAATTCTAAAAAAAAGTGTGAAATTCAAATAACCAGTTCCCCGTCTAATCCACTCGCATCGCTTTCTACTGCAGTGCAGTTAATTAAATGGTTCTCTTTATAAATCCACTTTCCCCAGAAGTCTCATTAGCCAAATTAATATGACGCATATAGAGCACTTAACCATTCAAAGAGACTAGTTTTAACAAAAGCCTGGCTTTACCTGGCAGCTGAGGCATCCCCCTAACCGGCTCAGAAGGCAGAGGGGCAGACCCAGCACACAAAAAACAACTCGCTATCACAGAGCAACCGTAGGAAACTTATCCCACACCACATCCCACGATACCTCCAAGTCTCCTCAATAAATACGGAATGTAAAGGTGAGAGGGAACAGTCTCCTGGTTAAATACCCAGTGAAATCTGAGTCAGAGAGGCAGACCTCTTCTGGAACATCCACCGACAGCCCCCTTTGCCATAACACAACAAAGTCAAAGCATACCCAGAAAGTGGGAGAGTGCCCAAGCCCCGGAACACACGCCCGGCTACCCGAGCGGCTAGCCAGCTTGCCAAAAACACCTCTTACATTTGGGTGACGCTAACAGATCACTCATCTCCTGTTGGCATCAACCACCCAGCCGAGTTAAAGAGGCTGACACACACCTCCCGTTCTTACTACCAGCCCCAAACCTTTTGGACAACACTTCAAATCACAGCAGCGTTCATATCTCAACAGAACATGAAATACATTGCAAAAACATTGACTACAAACACCAGCTTCTGGAAGAAAAGGCATCTCAGGAGTCTCCCCTCCCCACTCCCCTCCCCTCGTTACCAGCAATATCTACAATTTGAACCCATTTCCATAAACAGCTGAATTTAAACGCTTACAGCAGCATCCCGTCAACACATAGACAGCTTTGCCTAATCGTTGGCTTGGCTTTCCAGATCAACATACACAATTATAAATCACATTCTGGGTTAAAGCAGTGTTAATTCAAGCAGTTCATGAAGTCAAAATTAACAGCTCTAGCTCGCCAAGCTGAAAACCTTTAGTTTGATCCGCACGGCATCTTGCCCCAGATCGGCAGAGAAACCCCGCGTTCGTTATTGGGAACCCCCAAAGCAAACACAGAAGCCACATCGAAGAGTTCGTTCCTTCGCTCCCATCCCCAGGTTGGATGGAGCAGCACGTTGACCGAAGCAAACACGTTAGTAAAAGTTAGTAGGCTGGAGAATCAAGAAAAAAAAAAAAAAAAAAAAAAAAAAAAGGCGAACAACAAAATCATCTGCTTTTACATTACAATTCAGACCAACCTCTTAAACCCCCTTACCTGTTTTAGGGATTTACACAGCTCTTTGCCCCCGGAACAGACACCTTGCAGAGCACAACCATGGCATCCTTTTGTTGAAAGGCACCTGCAGCCTAGCAATGCTCCTGCAGGGCTGCAGGACAGCACTAGGTTCGTTATCCACGGGAGGTTAAAGTATGTCAAGGCAATCAGGGCAAGCTTGCACTTCAAGGTGTCTTCATCTGCATGTCACATTAATTCTAACAGACCGGCAAGCATAACACGAGGGGTTTCTGAAGCCAACGATGCAGCCGTGTTAGCTTCCTCTTGATGTCTGCGGTTGTCAAATGTGCCCCGAAGTCTCCTGCAGCCAACATGGAGTTGTGCTCCCGCACTGGAACAGCCTTCCACCGCTCAGGAGCCCCCAATACAGGAGAACGCAGCAACTACAGCACACAACATTTTCAGGCCGCCTCCATTTTTTTCCTCTCACCATCTGTACTACACAGTGAGGCGACTGCCAAGCAAACATGCAGTCGTACCTGGGACGCGATCAGGGTGCATGCACATCCGAGGCGTGTGGAACCATTTGCTTCAAAACCGGTCAAAATAAGGCACTGAGACACCAACGCAAAGGTTTTAAATTACCGACTCTAGCTCTCAGGAACTCTTCATCCATTCAGCACTAAACCCATCACTGCATAACTGCTGCAAAGCCCCTGGAGATGGAGGAGCGCCTCGCGTGTGTCAGGAAAGGCTTTATTAACATCATTTAAACACTTCTAAGGACTCATTTCTCTTTTTCGTTTGGCAATTTGGTGCAAAGGTTTACGTGCAAGATTCAAAGCAATTTCAAACTTTTTTTCTTCAAAATTAAAAACAAAAATAATCAGAACTAAAGCCAAACATGGTGGGTGAACAAAACAAATCAGAAACTTAAAATTCAGGAACTCCAGCTCTTCAAACCAGCGAAGCCCCAGACTTGTACACCGTTCTGAGACGCAGGGTGGTGCTTCCCTGCTTCTTGCATGCCAGCATCAGCACCGCTTCCTCGTCAAGGTGAGGAGTAAAGCAGCAAGTGACCCCCTTTTTCACTGCAAACCAAGGGGGTGCCACAGCGAGACCATCAACTAGATTTCTTCAGATTTGGTACAACAGGCTGGTCAACGCGAAAGTGCCGGTCTCCCTGCTTCTTGCTCAAGACCCACAACTATCAGATCAAACAGCGAGCAGCAGCAGCAGCCAAGTAACCCCTCCGCTGCAAACAAAGGGGTCAAACGGTTGTCGTCAATTCACTTCCAGGCAGAAAAACCATTTTCCTCAAAAGAAACAATTTATTTAGAATGAAACAAAATCAGCTCAACTGTGAGCGCATGTTTGAGTGACAGCTACTTTTAAGCTGTGTGAGCCATAAAAAGGGTATTCCTTTACTTTTCCAGCAATCTTGTGTACACAGCACAAAGCAAAGAGGTCATTTTTTTTTTTTTTCCACTTAAAACACGGGCATTGGCATCACAATAGCAGATACACAACTTTTTTTTTTTTTTAAAGCTGCCATTTTAGTAAAATGCACAAATACTAAACAGATAAGCTTTCTTCCATCAAGAGGCCCGTGTAAATTCCACACAAGCCACAGCTTCTCTTCCCAAAGGTCCATTAGAGCTTGGTATCCCATGCGGTTGTCTTCTGCAGTCCACCAGCTTTGCTTGCAGGAGGAAAGAAAATGTTATTTCAATACAAATGTATACAACAGATTTTTCTGTGGTTTTTTTTTTTTTTTTCCCCTCCCTACATTATACAGATGAACATAAAGAGCTACAAGGCCTTTCCGAATATTCTATATGGACTTCAAAAAAGCACCAAGACCACCCACGGGCACAAAACCTTGAAGTGAAGTCACCTTCTATGTATAGATGCATAACAAGTAGTGCAGGGCTTCTTTTTGGACCAAGGTTAAATTAGGCTTACAGTACTGAGGATTATTCAACTTTCAGTAACAGTTAACGGGAGATATCAAAATAATTAACCATGAGAAAAACCAACCGGATTATTGGTAATTCGGTTGCCTTTCCTCAAAGAATATTTCCTGAAGGCAACTTATCAACAAAAATACGCAATGTAGTGTTACGAGTTTCTCTCTGGTTCTCATTTTGCTGCGTAATTCTAACAGCAGACAACGCCAATATTAAAGAAAAGGGCAAATCAAATACACACCTAATATAATTTAAAATTGTTACTACTCAAGTAATATTTCTAATCCATCATTTTCACACAATCAAAACTGCATGAAGTTGAATATTCAGTGAACCATTCCCCGAACCATACCGTCTGCTTTAAGCCTAATACAAAAATCATCTCATCATTCAGTTTATAAATCATTGGAATCTCTGTCCTTCGGTGCTATCTGCAGAAAGTAAAGGGGGAAACAAAGGGGAAAGAACCCCAAAAGCTCTACAGTCACATGGCAATAATTTCTTCCACTCTTGTTTCCGTTCAACAGGCGCACAGCAGTCTCCCCAGGAGCGCTGCCCTCAACACTGTTTTTCTTAAAGCCAGGAACGACGATTTCCCAAGCCATTTTTCCCTGAGTCCTCAGAGTTTTTAAACCTGTCTTCACAATTTTGATTCACTCCTCCTCCCCATTAATACTTAAGGCCTTTCACCTCAGTTACCATCAAGCAGATGGTTCCTCAACCAATGCAAGAAACCGAAACGTTTCAATCCTTTAGTATCCTTGTTAAAAAATAAAAAAAAATTTAAAAAAAAAAAGAGAGAGAGGGTAAGGTTTGCCTGGCACGTAACGCCCTCCTCTCTCCACGATGCTTACAAGGATGTGTTCGGTACTGGCAACCCAGGAGCCTGAAGCCTCTGGAGTTGAGGGTAACCTCGGCGTTCGCGCCGCAGTCGCAGTGAACAGCAGAGCGGTCACTAGACGGGAGCAAACAAAGCCCCTGGCCGGCAGCCAAGGAAGTTGCATAAAGTTTCCAATAAAAAAAAAAAAACCAAAAAAACCCAACCCAACAAAAAACCAAACAACTAAAATCTTAAACAAAAGTATGAGTCATTTGAGGTTCTTTCCCCAAAGCATAAAGCCCAACTATGAAATGATTCAGGAAAAGGACATCCTTTTTCCACGCTAATTCAACAAACGAATGAAATACAGGAACATCAGCTGTACACAACGTTAGAAGGAATACTGAGCTCTCGCTAGAGCAAGGTAATGCCAAACGCGACGAGAGAGCGAAAGTCTGCTACATCTGTTTTGCTCTATACAGAAGTGGTATCACATACGGACTTCTACTCGCATTCAAGCCCTGGCCAAGACGATTTTTTTTTTAGTGGACAGTTACTCCAATGGTGCACTCTTCAGAGCCTAAGAGAAAAGCACAGCGAACCAAGCTGTGCCAGCCTTGATGGCAGCACGTGAACTTAAGTGCCGGCAAAAAAAATGTTGCCAGTCAACTATGTTTTGACATTAAGAACCCTCAAAGGGTGTTAAAATCCTTGCTTACAAAACAGAGCAGCAACCACAAATAAACCAGATTTAAAGAAGCAGGTACTCCATTAAATAAGGAACCAGAAAACCTGGAGTCAAATACAGCCTCGCCTGTTCCTTATTACCCTCCAGCGCAGCACAATTTTGACTCATAAAAGCCCGTGGCAGGTATAACCGCCACTATTTTACAAGGAAAAATGGAAGTGCACCTAGGATGCTCTTTCCAAAAGGGTTCCCCACACTGAGTTTGCTTTGACAAGCTCTGTTGACCCCAAGTTTTACGGGTTTTAAAAACAGGCACCCACTGCATATCAGCATAACAAACGCTGTTCTCAGCAAGTTCAAGTGTTGAACACAAACAATGTTAGTGCTGCTTTTTTTTTTTTTTTTTTGGTTTAGGGCAGATTTGAAATTCCCAGCGGTTCAAGTTTCTTTCCTTTAAAACTCTGCAAGTGACTCCCGTCAGATGCAATGATAAAACTCCTTCCGAACGCGAGCAGCACTTCAAGCGAGTTCGCAGCAGCGTTGGTTACCTGCCGACACGCAACAGCCACCTGCTAGAATTAAAACAGACATTCTTGGCGGTAAGTGGTAAAGACGCCGTATCTTCTAAAACACAGTTATTTACGTTATCGGTGTCATTTCGAAAAATTCTCATTGTTAATAGTAAGATGAACAGCTGAATTCTGCCATCTATTACATTCACGCTGAGGGACAACAACCCAGAAATCCTGGATTTTACCCCCAAACATTTAAGAGCATTAAATGAGGCTTGTAAGCTTCCATGTAGAAAGGAAAGTAGCTATAAAACCAAAATCTGTTCTCAAGATATGCTGCCACATTCAAGTTCTCAGCGATGCTTGGGATACTATGTCTACTCATTCCGGTCAGATAAAGGAAATCAAAGCCCACTTACACCAAAGCACTCTCTGACGAGTGGTTCAGTAAAGCGGTATTCCAGAAATTCGTATTTTTGTGACAGCGAATCTCAAGCAAGCACAGTCACATTTCAGAACGGCTGTGCTCACGAAATACATTCGAGACATTTCCTCCTTCATCTACTATTCCGCATTTTGAACTCGATTTTTGTGTCGCGCAAGCAGAGACAGAAATCAGCTTGACCCTGTATCAACTGCCCAAGGAATATAGCGGAGGATCGATGGAGTGAAGCAGCATCGCTTTGACATTGCCCAAGTCTCTGAAAACGTGGCTAAGTGCAAGACTACATTCTGGGTTTAAGTGCAAGATTACATTTTTAGGGCCTGTAAATAGACACAGTCAGATTTACGCTTCGGTTTAGAAGCTAGCTGCAACATCCTTCTGGTTGTTGAACAAACCAACAGGGATTCAGAGCCCTTCTTCCCTCCTAAACGCCTGCACGGTGGCCAAGACAGCTGGAGAAAAGCGCCCAATGAGCAAGGAAAAAAAACGTAAGAGAAAATGAACTAAGTTCTTTGAGAAAAAAAAAAAAAAGCAAACTGTTTGCTCCTAGAATCACAGGAACAAGAGCTCAAACCTCAGCATCTCAGAGTACTTTTACTACATCTCCAAGACACTAAAAACACTTTGCTCCAGATGCCTATAAAATGATAAACCTCATGTAATGCCCACTGTACTGTACCTGAAAAGTCCCTAGCAGACAGCAGTTTCTTGCTATTAACAAAGAGGTAAAACGTTAATGAGAACTTTTATGTAATTAAATTATCACAGAATTAAAACCATCTCTGGAGAGAAGCACACTTGCTCAGAGTTTGCACTGTGGAACCAGACCCCACTGTACCTGCAACTCTTTGAAAATAAAGGCAGTAAAAACAAAAAACCACAATATAACTAAAGTTATTCTTAAAGCACCTCCTTGTTTCTTGCATACCAGAGTAAGCACAAGACATTCATGGTTTGTAACAAAGTCCTCAGCTATTTACCGAACATTGTCACTGCTACAAACCCAAAGTGCATATATGGGATACAACAGAACTCAGAGAAATAGGAGAAATACACCTGTTAAAAAAGCATACTTTCAGTGCATGCATTTTGAGGGGCTGGATGAAATTATCAAACACCCAATAAAGGAATTAAATGTTCTGCAGTGTACCCGAGAGCAGGTGCCGGTCACCTGAAAGACATCAACCTTGAGCCATGCAACTCAAAGGGAAACCGTTCAGGCTCCTGAGGAAAGGGATCACGCGTGCCAAAGGGCCGCTGGCCTGAGGCCGTCACAGAATTTCAAGGACTCGAAAGAAATGAGCTGACACCAGTCCGCTAGTACGTATGTGGTTTTCCATTTAAACTACTGAGTGCTTTAAATCTGGTCTTTTAGGTTTGTAACTCTATCGAGGATGAGCTATTAAATTTGCTTTAAAATACATGAAATGAAAAAAGGACACGAATCAAAATTAAGAAAATGGGAG